CATAGCGGACCTCAGGGACACAGATCAGACCCTCTATTGTGTCTGTGGCCTCAATAACTGACTTGAACGAACGAGCGCTCAATGTCAGGATCGCGCCAATGGCCTTATGAGCCTCCTGAGGATCATGCCATGTTTCCTCCACAAGCTTGAGGAAGTCATCTAACTTTTGGCTGGCTGCCCAAGTGCGGAAGTCATGACCGTATCCCTGTAGTTGCACTAACCCACTCAACCATCTTGCTGCACTACGCTCAAAGTAGGATGCAGCCACAAGCACTTCCTCGTAGGGGGCAAGGTCAATTTGCACTTAAGATAGACCGGCACAACCCTCAACCACGTGTCAAGGTCTTCGCCCCTCTTGTCCCCTGAAAAGGGTTTAGGAGCAGCGATTGTTGTCTTCGGAACCCATTGTGTTTGTCCCGGTATCTGTCCCACACTTGGCTGTGGACTCTGGGGAACAGGCTGTTGCACCTACTGCTGCTGGGGCTGAGTCCCCTGCGGCTGCACAGGTTGCGGGACAACACATTGCCCACTGATGGCAAACTGCGACGGAGGTTGGGATAACAATGACTGTATAGGAATCTGAACACTAGGTGCTGCTGATAACCCTCCTGATAGCGGCATGCCCAGGGAAACGATAACGACCGATGATGGGGCGACATATGGGGACACCCCAGTCACCTGTGGGACAAAAGGTGGAGGATGTGCCACGGGGCAGGCACCAGGCCCGGACGGTAATGGCGCTGGCTGCAGTCGTCCAACCAGCAAGGCTAGACTCTGCTGAATGTCCTGGAGGACGGCAGTTTGTTGGTCCTGCATCTCTATTATTCCTAGCAGGGCCGTCTGTACTGTCCTCACATCCGCATCAAGATTAGTCAGATCCATTTCCTCTAACACTCTAATGTCCACTTCTCGTCTCTGTAACCTGGCTCTTCTCCTAATCATTCTTTCTTTCTCCGCTTTTATCTGTCCTAATGCATGTTGTAGTTGGGCCTCCTGCAGGGCTGCGTGTTGTATGGCGATCTCATCGGAGGTCAACACTAATGGCTGGCTTGCCATCACGCCAATGGACTGACTCTGGGTCTGCGCCGCAGTTGACCCTACAGTTCCTGAACTCCCAGCCTGAGAGGATTGCTGTGCAGCGCTAACCATGGCTGCTGAAGCAGCAGCCTCACTTGCTAAAGTCTTGCTTGCTTCGGCGTCCCTGGCCCTCTGCTGCTGCTGCACCCTCTCCCTACGCTGGCGGAACAGGTATCTGTCGCCCTCTGGTCCTAATGCCACATGAGCAATTGGGCGTCTTGCTGACTGCAAGATGCCGTCGTCCGGCTGCTGTACCTCCCTATCGCTCATAAGTTATTGTATCGGACACAATCTGCACTAGACTACACAAGGTGCCTACCACAGCTTAGTGTCCGGACCAGATAAATAATTGGTTGCTGTTTCGAAGAGATACATTTGGGTCCAACAGGTAAGTGCAGATTCGTACAAATAACACTATTCTACTTTGACTAGTCCGCAAACAGTTCTAAACTATGTTGTCTGTCAGATGTCAATGGCTGTACATCTAACTAATCAAAATAAAAATAATGTCATTTGTTGGGTCTGTTCTGGCATCTTTCTCAAACTTGTCACCTCGAATCTACCCTTTTTCCAAATCCCATTTGATTGTCACTTAACGTCAACGTCCCTGAGCGATCCAGTAGCATGCGTGACTAAAGGTGTGCACACGGCCCACCCCTGTGCCCCGAGTAGCTGCTGAGCTGGCCAACCCTGTGGGTTGGCATGGTGACCATGACCCAGTGCTTCGTCTAGGGCCCTTCAGAAAGCACCGCCCTCTCCTTCCAGATGCTCCACCGGAAGAATGTCGACTCTCAAGGTTGAGCGCACACGACACCTCACATGAGAGGACTCTCAAGATGGAACTCACAACCTCACGGTAAGAAG